TACAATAGACTTCAGAGCTGGAGTACTTATCCAACAAATTCCACCCTTCCCTGGCTGAGGGTTGCCCCTGGGGCACTAAATCTCCAGCACTTTCAGGCTGCCCTGCATACTGAGCAAAGCTCTCCTGTCCTCGGAAGGAAATTGTTGGTCTACAGGAATTGAGACTGCAGGAGAACCCAGAGGTGAGCAAATCGAGGCTCAGACAGGTTGTTACTTGCCTATCTTCATGACTCTAGTAATGAAAAGGCAAGACACAAACCCAAGTTTATCTGATTCTGAAGCTCATGCTCTTGGTCATTCATGTATAACATCAAATTACTAGAAAAATGAAGAACTAAACTACACAAATTAGAGCATGTTCCATACCAGAAGTTCTGAGAGATTCCAATTTAGTTTTGGTAGCATGTTTTCTCCATCTGCAATTTATTAACCTTTGCTGAATATGCACTCTGACATGAGAGATCATCAGGTCATCTGGCCAACTCATACTGGCATCCCCTGCAGTGTCTTCTACCAAAGTGTGGTCCACAAACCAGAAGCCTTGGCATTGGTGGGAGCTCATTAGAAATTCAGAGTCTCGGGCCTACCCCTATCTAGATTAGAATCTGCATTTTAATAAGATCCTTAGATGATTTATACAGCCATCAAAGTTTGAAGTATTGTCCTGAAGTGTCCCTGACACCTGGGCTCTTCTTACAATCTTTTCTGAGACAGCCCAGTCCTTGAACACAGCTCTCATTATTAGTAAATCCTTACTAAAGCTTTCCTGATTATTCTACACCTTCCCCTCAGTTTGCCATCTCAACTTACAAATGACAACCCTTCAGATCTTGAAAACACCTATTATTTCTCCCCACAGTCCTCTCTTTCTAAGTTAAATATCCACTTTCTTCAGTACTTCCCAGGTCATGCTGTTCATGTCCTCTGTTTCATACCAACCTAAGGTGTACATTAGAATCCCTTGAAAATACCCAGGGGGTGGATCCCAGGCATCTGTCCTTTTGCATACTCTCCACCTTCAGCCAAAGCTGAGTTCTCTGGGCTCAGGACCACTGCCTGGCATGCCCTCTAGTTTGTTAATATTCTCTGTAGAATACAACTTACAGAGCTGATAGTACAAGTATTATTATGGCCTGAAATCAAGACATATTTTTTTAGTGCAGCCTAGAATGTAACTCACTCTTATAAGGAGTCTCATCACACTGTTAACCTGTATCAAGTTTGTTGATGAAGTTCCATAGTCTTTTTTCTTTTTCCATATGAATTGCTGCAGAGCCAGGTTTCCCCAGTTCTGTGTTTCTTATTTTCCTGAATTTAGACATAGGACTCCATACTTAATTACTCCTAAATTTCCTCTTGTTTTGAACCTTTGATTACCACCTGCCAAGATTTATGAATCTTTATTCCATCCTTTATGGTCAGGCAGTGAGTGGCCTGAGCTCTAGAATCAGACATACTTGGGTAAAATCAGATTTATTTGAGACAAATGGCTCAAATGGCTACGCAGAAGACCAACTTAAGAGGCCAGCTCGATGCCTGACAAGAAATGTTTCAGCACCATATTTGTTGAAGGAATTAATGAAATAATGACTGAAGGCAGTGATAACAAGGGAGACTGGTTATGAAGCTCTGATCCAAATGAGAACAGAAGGAAGTCTAAATTGAGATTAGTTTGGTGATAAAGGTGGAGGATTTAGGGAGCTATTTGTGAGGTAGAATCAATAGGACTTACTGGGCAATTGATTGTCAGGGTAAAGAAGAGGAAGGAATCACAATGGCACCCATGTTCCTGGCCTGAGCATCTAGAGGCTACTGCTGCTGAGAACAGGATATATACATACCCTATGGGCCCACCCTACAGGATTGCCTGAAGGCCCCAGGGAAATAGGAGCACCCTCTGTCACCCGTCTCTTTAACTGAAATGAGATTGATACCTTTGTGAATCTAACTCAAATATGCCATGGGTATATTTGATCAAAAATAAACTCTGGATGAATCTCGAAGACATTATGCTAAGTGAAATAAGCCAGACACAAAAGGACAAAGATTGTGATTCCACTTCTTAGACTATGCAGATTCATAGAGATGGAAAGTAGAATAAGGGTTACCAGGGGCTGAGGAAAAGAGAATAGGGATTCTTCTTGTTTAATGGGCATAGAGTTTCAGTTTGGGATGATGAGAAGTTCTGGAGATGATTCCTTGATGTCCATTGTGAACATACCTCATACCACTGAACTGCACACCTAAGACTGGTTAAAATGGAAACTTTGATGTTATGTATATTTTGCCACAATAAAAAAAAATATTTTAAATGCAATGTCAAGTTACCAACCATCCGTGTTGACAAATATTCCCTTTTATCCAGTTGCAGTTGGTTGGGAGTGAGGAACTGACAAAAGTCCTCGGAGACTTAAATCCTGTTTAATCCACGAAGAACAACTTCTCAGTGCCTAAAAAGGTGTAAAGAATGACTCAGTAAATAATTCTGTGGCGGCAAAATGTCAGCTGCTGTTACGACCCATTATGTAAAATATTTCCCTTGTTTTTGCTTCTTTTTGCTCTAGTCTTATTTATTTCCATCGTCCCAGATAAATCTCATTAAAAACTTTTACTAGTGGTAACGACTTTCAGCAGTTAGCCTGAAATGAGGTACATAAAGAAGTCAAAATATTGCAAATTTTTATCTGGGCTGAGAGCTATACCTAAAAGATGTATATACAACCTAAAATTTAAGACTTTAAATTCATGGAAGTGTCTTGAACTGAACAGTTGCTGCATTTTGAAATCTCCTAGGCTAGCCTTACCCTGTGAAGTGACTCTCAGCTTTGGCTGCACATTGTAATCACTTAACGGAACTTTAAAAATTACTGATATCCGATCCTAACCTAAAGAATCTGATTTGATTACCTAGAGTCCAGCCTGGGCATCAGGATTTTCCATAAGCAAAGTCCCTCAGGTGATTCTAATGTTCAGCCCAGACTTCAAATCAATGACCACTAAAAAGTTACAGAATAGGTATCTAGCATACTGGCTTCTAAGATTGCTCAAAACCTGACATGTAAAAAAAAAAAAAAACCTGACATGTAGCATCAGTGTAAGTCCATGATGTTAATGAGTTACAGGAACAGCAACCACACATCCCACATATCCCAGTCTGCCTGGTCAGTTACAGCTCACACGTTTCCCAGTGTGATTATTAAAAACGGCAGCTCTTTCACTCTCAGAGCATTCCAGGATGGATGATCAATTATGTAGTCACCTCAATTACAAGCCTCAGCACCTGGAAGGTACATTTGCCTAAAAGGTCAAATGGGAATGTAAATTTCATTTAGCTCCAAGAACTTTACCTTTAGCATTCTGATTCCACATACAAGAGAATCTGAGGCATATTAAATAAAAAAGTATTTTTAAGTATTTTGTGGAAAGGCTTTTTGTTAGAATGAAAATCTATCTCATTATTAAATATTATTGTATTTAATTTGTAACATTTATAGAGAAATGTTATAAATGACAGGAGACCATGATTATCTAGCTTATTTTCTTGCCATTTTTTTAAATACTGAATTTCAGAACCGATCAATAAAAGATTAGTAAGAACTGGCTTTTCCCAGAACAGTCAACAATCATCCTTCCAGTATGCCAATATCAACACATTTCAGAACTATTAAGGACTATGCAATCTCCCCACAAAAAAAAACTCTTAATGAAATCATTCAAAACCTGCTATTATTTACCCCTCTAAAGGTAGTATATGGCCTCTCTTTAGTTGTGCCCTGCACATAATAAGCATGCACATTTGGTAAATGATCCATTTTTCACTTGCACATTCAACAGTAGTGCCTTCTGTTAGTGTAGAAGAAATATTCTGACAAATCTAATTTGAAAACATTTGTCCTGCCAACTAGAAAAAATACAAGTAATTCTGTCTCTTTCTTCATTAAGTGCCCAGAGGAGCTAATTTAGAGATTAATTTGCTGTGTATTTCTTAAAATTCTGTTACTCATATTATCCTAGCCAAAATGCATAATAGCCAAAATGTAAAAACAAAAACCGAACACCAAAAATATTCTCACTACAAAAAAAAAAAAAACGTTGTGTGAGGTGATGGATGTGTTAAGTAACCATATGGTAGTGATCTTTTCACATATACGTGTATCAGATCATCACATCATGTTATGTCAGTTACAGTTCAGTGAAGCTAAGGGTGGGACAGACAAAAAAATGCTGCCCACTTTTTATTGGTTAAAATATACAAAATAATTTAAGTATGGTGTGAGTGATGATTGTGACATTCCTAGATAAAGGCAAAAACATTCCTAGTATGTCCAGGAATCTTTGACTTGTAAATGGATCCTACCAAAGGAATCTTGATTTAAAAACCACTTCGTTTTCTGACATGGATGTAAATTTTAACTGAAATTGTAACATAATTTAGTATTTTAATACACTTACTGTGTTCCTTGGTTGGTTTACAAACTGGCCCCTGAACACGGAGGGCAGGGAGAGACTGAAGAGGCAGGCCACTCCAGATTGCTAGGCGGCAGGTTTAATAAGCAGGGGAACACACTTAAAGGGTTTCTCTGGAGCGGCCACGAGGCGAGTGATCTCCACACCTACCTGCCACAATCTTAAAAGTTTAGAGAGAGATGTTAAGAAGGTTCAGTCACCTCTCACGGCTCTGTCCTTGAAGTGGCTACTGCAACGGGAGGGCGCAGAATGTGCGGGGCGCACGGAACATACACAACGTCACACTCAGAGGGTCCGAGCATCAAGTTCTGTTCCAAAGGGAGGGGGAAGGTGCCGCNAAGTTATTCTCTGTTTTTTGTTCCATTATGTTGTTCTAGATTCTTAAATGGATTATTGAGCCCTCCTAAAATTATTTTCGATCACAGATGTGTAATTGTTATTCTTCTTTTCTTTTTTTTTGAGGTAGATATTGGCTGGTAACTCCTACCCTGCCATCTTACTGATGTCCTTAACTCTTATTTTTTTTTGTTTGAAATATTAATTTTTTTGGAAAGCATTTGATAGTTAAATCACATAATCAATCACTTAATTTTAAAATGATTTGGCCTGAGGATATTGATTAAAATATGGATTTTTTTATTCATTCAACAAACATTTGAGCACCTATAAGGGCTAAACATTAGAGGCACAAGCTAAATAAGAGAATCTTTGCTCTCCTAGAGCTTACAATCTAGCTGGAGTGCAATATTAAATGTTTATATTTCTTATATAAGATAGAGGGAAGCGACAAGGGAAGTGGATGGTGCTCTACAAGAGTGCGTAATAGGTATCTAACCAGCCCAGGGAAGTCACAGTGACAAAAACCTAACTGTTTAAGAAGGAGCAGTAGAACAGTTCAGGCAGAAGGAAACTTATAGACCCTAAGGCAGGGAAGTCTTCACAGGTTCAAAGGACTAGAAGTCTAGAATGGCTGGGCCACTGTGTGTGAAAAGAGGAATCAAGGCGACGAGGCTGATGAGGTGATGATCAGGAGCATGGAGGCCATTAGGGGTCTGGCACCGCAGAGAACCAGTGAAAGACTTCAGTAAGGGAGCAGCATGACCAGAAGTGCACTTCAGAATGGCCATCCCAGCTCCAGAGCAATGGAGAAACTGGACTAGGTAAGATTGGCTGCAGGCAGACCACTTCCAAAGCCTGTAGCAGTGACAGACAAAAATATCTGGGAGGATTCAAGAGATAGATAGCAAAATTAACAGACCTTGATGACTGAATCTGAGGTTCCTATAAGACAATTAGGCCCAGTAGCCCTGTAAGATATGCTCAGGGGAAACTGTGTTAAGAACTGTCAATGCAGGATCATCCGCATTTAGATGGCAACTAAAACTGTAAGAAGGGCTACAGTGGCCCAGTGAGGATTAATCAAGCAATAAGAATCACACACATTTAAAAATGAGATGTGTCAGGGGCTGGGGGGAAGGGCAATCAGTAGTTATTATTTAGTAACAGTTTTAGCTTGGGATAATGAAAAGTTCTAGAGACGGAAGGGGATGATGGTTGCACATCAGTATGAAGGTAGTTAATGCCACAGAACTGCACACTTAAAAATGGTTAAAATGGCAAATTTTCTATTGTATATTACACCACACTTTTAAAAAAACAAAGAGATACTTTCGAGCTATTTGTATCTTTTAGAATAAGACCATATTCACGTATTATAATTAAAAATCAGCATGAACGGTGAAGAGGGTGGGGGAAGAATCAGCAGAGTAAGAGGAGCCTGCAAAGGGGACTGAACAAGAAAGGCCAAAAAGGTTGACAGAAAACCTAGAGCGTCATGGCAAGGAAGTTAAGGATAGCATTTCTAGGAGGAAGTATTTGACTGATTTAAACGCCACTAAGAATTAAATCAGATAAAGTCAGAAAAGAAGCGACTAGTTTCTGCAACACGGAGATCAACCTTGGAATGAGCTGTTGGCAGTGGAAGCCAGTGATGGGTAGGCTAAGGAGAGAATGGGCAGGAAATAAGAGCCTCAATGCAGATGGCAAGAAGTCTGACTATTATGGAAAGGAGTAGGATGGTGGCTGGGGGAAAAATAGATGCTTTAAAAAAAAAAGTGTTAAAAATATCATGCAAAATCAGAAAATCAATCATTTCACTGGAAATGGAACTTCATGTTAATAATTTCAGGAATACCTGGAATTTATAGGTTATAGAATTTTTTATACTACTTATGGGTCAGAAAGGATACCTGTTATTCTCTTCATTTTATGGGTAAAATAAAGGTTCATCAAATAAGTATCTTCAATAATTTTTTTTTAAGATAGGAAAGTATAATGTACTGAGTGAAGAAAACAATTTTTACTATGATGGCCACATGTTGAAAAAGTTTAATATTTTAAGGCTACTAATGTATTAATTTTTGGTACATGTCCATCAGAAGATATTTTCTATCCCAGTTATATCCTGAAGATGCCAAAGTCAGTCTTCTGGATTGGCGCGTTGAGGGCTGCGCTAATACTGAGACCCAGAACTAGTCTGGTGTCCACTGGATCAATAATCCCATCATCCCACAGCCTGATAAAAGAACAAAACATCGGTTATTAGGAATCCACCACCAAACTATCATTTATACACTCCATGCCCAGAAGTGACAAGGAGGTTTTTCTTCAGGTAATACACAGATCTACTGATTAGAAAGAAAAACAACGTGACTTTTGTCCCGGGTCCCCCAGAATGTCTTTTCAAGCTTATGGCTTCAGGAACTGCTCACTGGAAGAAATCACGAAATAATTTCTGATTTTAAAATACTGTTACTTATTTCAGGAAAAACGTTCCTGTCCCTCTTCTGCCCACACAAATGTACAAATCAAGTTGATGTATTCCTGTTATTAAAATGGAAAGCCAGGTAATTACAGGTAATAAGCCCAGGTGATAGTCTCAAACCAAAGTTTCTCCTGGAAAAGGTGTATTTCCCCAAATTTCCAAACTCTTAAGAAACTATAAAAATACTCAATAGACTTCAGTACATTTTATTAATAAAATAAATACCTTCATATGTAGTTCTTTATTTTTTGCAGTAAGAGGAAAAACAAGTAATAGCTCTAAACTGCTTTCAGAAGAAAGTCTCAAGTAGAAATTTTAGTTTCCTTTTTACTAACAATCTCAGATTTATAAAGAAAATGAGAGAGAAATATTGCTTTTTAAAGGTCATTAGTGGGTGGCAGTTTTGCTTTCTTTAAACAAACTGCCTTGAGTGTCTGGACACAGCATCAATTATTAAACCATGCTTACATCAACAGACCATGAATCAAATCTTTGCTCATAAAACATTCATAAGAGGAACCCTGAAGTATCAACAGCCAATAAAAAAAGGCTACTCTTGTCATTTGTAACCAGGTCAGTTGATCACACTCTCTTCTGAAGCCTAGAGCAGAGAAAGTAACCCAGCAAGTGTCATGATGCTGGGGTGCCTCACAAAATTCATTAAAAAGACTGCTCAAGGGAAGAGGCCCTAACCAAGTGCTTGGGAGAGTCTGATTGCAAAAACAACTGAGCAGAAGAAAGCTGGCATGTTGAGTATGTAACATGTAAGGATTAAGAAAAAACAGGTTACAGATGACAGAGCTCTCCAAAAAGACAGATGTAGCCATGGTAAAGCCTAAACAGACCATAGAATTTTATTGTTCATCTGAGATTTATTAGGAAGGTGCCACAAACTGGCTTAAAAATCCTTTCATCTTTGAAAGCAACTTGCTGCCTCCATGCCACCAAGTGTTTCAACAGAAGGGTTAAGCATCTACAATTAACAGAAAAACTTTACTGTCCTCCGTGTTTATTTCCAAAGATAAGTCTATTTGGACCATTTGCTCTCCTGCCTTGAATATAATATAGCCCATTAAAATAATAATAATGACATAGGTATGAAAATAATAAAGGATTCAGTCTTTCTCAAGAGAGGATTTGGCCAGCGCTGAGAGACAAATTAATGGCTCACACAAAATACACTATTTTTCTAAGTTTAATACTCAACTGTCCTTGTGAATCTCAGTCATAATGTTAAATGAATGAAGGCAAGCTTATAAAATATATTTTCTCTTAACCATTTATATGGTTTTCTATTTCCTCTTTGCTTTTACTGGCTACTATATAATTCTGTTTAAGTGTTGATAAGAAGAAATGTTTCTTAGACCAAAGACTATAACATATTTTGGTTTTAATTAAATGAATCAGTGACCCACCAAACAAAATATACCTGAAATTTGCTTGTAAAAATTCATATTAACAAGAAGAAAACAGGCTCTTAAAATATCCCAGATGGTATTATTTGAATTCTGAAACTAATTATGCTCTTGAAAATAAGTACGCGCGGCCTTTGTACCCGCAATGCTAGGAGCAGTGCCTGCCATAGAAGATGTGTTCCAATGACTGAAATGGATTCTAACTCTGCAAATTCTTTTCTCCCTCCCCTCCAGTTTGCCTTCACTAGTAAATGGCATAAATCACAGTATAACCTAATTTTAAAAGACACAAAGAGTTATTTTCTTTTTTCCATCTTCCTAAGGGATAAAAGGAAGATGGGAAGCTTATAGATTATTCTTCAGCATAAAGAACATTAAAGTTGTGGAAAAAAGCTGTCTGAAAGCACGTGGCAGCAAGTCTCCAGCTGGGACAGGCTGTGGTAATGAACTGCTTCATTAAGTGGTGTAAGAAACAGAGGAGCTGAGATGTCTGTGTTGGCACGTGGACCACAGCTACGACTAAATTACCTTCTGAACACACAAGCACCCTTGTTAACAAGTGCCAACAAGCGTTCAACTAATCTCATGCTTAAAATGGTATAAAAAGAATAATCAAAGAGAGGGCTGTGACAGGAATCCCTACGTTTAACCAAAAACTGTAATAGAACTAATTCCTGAAAGTGACCCAGCCAGGTTTGTAACTCTCAACGTCCCAGCCCCAGCGTGGCCCACCTCTGCCTGCAGTACCCCTCCAGGCCCCGGACACCTCAACCAGAGGTGGGATAAGGGAAGAGGGGTAGAGGGAGGCAGAATCAGAGGACCGTGGATCCACAGCCCAGCCTGGGAGATAGGGTGGCGTTTCAGCAACAGGCATTCCCATTATAGTGATAACAATACAAAATTAAGTGTGTCCAAATGTCATTCTTTGTTTCCCACAAAGGCTAAACCATCCCAATGGCTCAGATCTCTGTAAAGCTGCTGCCCTGACTGCCAAGATGCACCCGAAAAGGAGTTCGTCATTCCCTGGCTCCCACCTGGCACTGGAGAAGTAAGGGTTTCCTTCCTCTTCAAACCTCTTAATGATGGGCTCTTTCAAAGCTGCTTCTTCAGCACTGGAGAACTGAACAAAAAGGGACTATGAGAAAGTCCACTGCAGTGGAACAACAGATCTGCTCAAGAGAACCTCAAGAAAAAAGGGGCAACAGTTTTCATAAATCCCAGGGTACCAACCAACATCTGCCCAGGGACGGATAGACCACAAGTAATGCTTTAACATACCATGATCTCACCTGAGATACAAGTATCAAATTAGTGAACTGTTACAGCTCCCTTATCAGAGTCAACATCCTGAGGCTGTTTAAGGTAAGGGCCCAACAATGGATGTGAATTATACAGTATAACAAAAGAGGCTATATTGCATTTAGCAGCTTCTGTTCAAGGAAGAGAAGTAGGGAATTTTCACTCAAAATAGCCAAAATTTTAAACATTTAAAGATTAAAGGGGTAAAATACCAACTACATTATGAAGAACCTCTTCAATTTCCCAGATGGCTGAGAGATATTTTTCCCAATTAAAAATTTAATGGCTTGAGTGTCAGTATTGCCAAAAACAAGTGATAATTCAGATGTAAAAATCTTTATGCAAACTAATTTTAAAACCTTGAAAAATATTTTTGACCTAAAAAAAATCCCACACCAAAAACAAATGATTTATTTTAAATAAACCCAACCTACTTTCATGTACTCCCATAGTTTAATGTCATTTATAGGTTAAGAATTTAGAAGAACCACCAATAAAATCTTGTATTATTTTCCTTTCATACATAAAAGGATGAATTTATATATCTGTATATCAAATTAACTAAAAAACAACTATTTAATAAGAGATCGCCATGCTGGGCTAGAGCTTAAGACATGTCTTCAAAATATCAGGTGGACTTTCATAACCCCCACACCCAAACCCACCACCCCTCAACGCACACACAAAAGTGGAGTTTTCTTTTCACTTGGACACTAGTCAGTACTAAAGTGAATCAGAAACTTCAAGTCCCATTGTTCCTATTGCTTAGGAAAGGTAACTGGGGTTACGAGGCATGGGTAGGAGGCATTCAAGGAGGCAGGAACCACCCTCTGGTTTTTATTACTCCCACTCCACAGACTAGGCAATTGACCAGATGATCCCTAAATGGCAATGCTGGGGGGCTGGGAAAGTAGGGCCTCTTTTATTTTACACCATTCATGATGAAACAAGGACCTAAGCAATTTCAGGAACATACATCCATTATTCTAAGGCCTGGCACTTATACAAAGTAGTTAAAAGTTATAACTAATAAAAATTAATGCAAAATTTCAGAAAATCTCAGCAGAGATTCAAACAAAAGAATCTATTTTAAAAGCAGCCACTTGCTAATGTGTCTTTCATCAATCTTCTCATGCCCTTTCTGTTTTTCTTCATTTGTACTTTCACAGTATAAAAATGTTAATCAATTCCCATTAGATCACTGAATCCTCCCACTCAAGGTGTCCTCAACAACAATCTCAAAGTAAAATGGAAAAAACAAAATTCTGCTGCTTTAGGTCATAAAATCAAAGAAGTAAATCAGATTTATTTCAATCTCACTAACTGCCAATGACTCAGAATCAAACATCTTTATGCCTCAGGCATTCACAGGCAGTGTTTCTGAAGTGTTTCTTAGAGATTCCGAAAAAATCTCAAGAAGGTACCTCAAACGAAATGGCTTTAAAAAGAGAGACAGAGAATGTGGATGTCTGCATTGCTGAAACAACTCCCAGGCCCGCACCCACACATGTGCCGGGGTTCTGGGGCACTGCTCCCTGCCTCCAGGGTGTTCACTGGGCAAAACCAAACCCCAAGATAGAGAAGAAGAAATTCACCTCTTTCCCTTCCCGTGCCCTTTGGTCCTTTGCTACTGTCGCCAGCACACTGGCCGCCTGTTCTCCTCCCATCACTGAGATGCGAGCGTTTGGCCACATATAGAGAAACCTTGGGCTATGGCGGGGAAAGAAAGAATGATCAAAATAATTCACTGTATGACACAGAGATTTCCAGAGGCCCATGTTTACCTTTTAAATTTGTGGTTCTTCATTCTAGCTGCACATTACAATTATCTGGGAATTTTAAAAAATGCCTAAAACCCACCCCAGACTGATCTACAGAGGTGGGGCCTGAGCATGGTAGGATTTTTAAGTCTTATAGGTGAGTCTCACATCTGTTTTGACAAGTTTTATTTTTCCACTTCATCCAAATTTACTGAGCATAAAAGTATTTAAAATATCCTCTTAATATCTGTGGTCATGTCCTGTTTTCCATTCTTGATATTGGTCATGTGTGCCTTTTCACTTTAACTTTTGGTTTTATCAGGGGATTATCGAGTTTGTTAACCTTTTAAACAAAACAACTTTGGACTTCCCTAATTCTTCTGTCTTTAAAATGTTTGCTCTTCATTATGTCCTATTTTCTATTTTTCTTATGTTTAACATGCTGTTCTCTGAAGGTCTTGTGCTAGCTGCTAGCTTTGTTGATTTTCAGCCTTTCTTTTCCCAGTGTATCTATTAAGTCCACACACCTTTCTCAAAGCAAGACTTTAGCCACACCACACAAGTAATGATATGTAGTATATTCATTATTAGCCATTTCAAGATATTTCCTGATTCTCATTGTGGATTTCTTCCAAGTAGCACCTTTAGCATTAAATTCCATTTTACATCTCTGGATAATATAAACTATGGTATAATCGATAAGATTTTTGAATGCCATTCTGTATTTCAAATACACCTGAAATAAACTCGTCATTTATAATTATACTTGAAGTATGATTCTTTCTTCCAGAGAAAATCATGACAACCACCTACCTGTATGCTCTGCCACACATCCCATAGTTTCCAGCCCCATATGAACCCCCAATGATGACAGTGAACTTAGGCACATTGGCACAGGCTACAGCAGCCACCAACTTGGCACCATCCTTGGCAATTCCTTCAGCTTCATAGTCTCTACCAACCATAAATCCAGTAATGTTTTGAAGGAATAGCAGAGGAATATTCCTTTGGCAGCAAAGCTGGATGAAGTGAGCCCCCTCTTTTGCAGATTCAGAAAAGAGAACTCTGTCATTTCCAATGATACCTACTGGGTATTCAAATATTCTAGAAAATCCTGTAACCAATGTGTCTCCATATAAGGCTTTGAACTCACTGAATCTGCTTCCATCCACAATTCTAGCAATGACCTCCTGGATATCAAAGCTCCTTTTATGGTNATAAAGAAGATATGGCACATATACACACTGGAATACTACTCAGCCATAAGAAGAAAACAAATCCTACCATTTGGAACAACATGGATGGAGCTAGAGGGTATTATGCTCAGTGAAATAAGCCAGGCAGAAAAAGACAAGTACCAAATGATTTCACTCTTTTGTGGAGTATAACAACAAAGCAAAACTGAAGGGACAAAACAGCAACAGACTCAGACTCCAAGAAGGGACTAGTGGTTACCAAAGGGAAGGTTGGGGAGGGTAGGAGAGGGGGATTAAGGGGCATTATGATTAGCACACATAATGTAGGGGGTCACGGGGAAGACAGTATAGCACAGAGAAGACAAGTAGTGACTCTATGACATCTTACTACACTGATGGACAGTGACTGCAATGGAGTGTTGGGGGCGGGGAACTTGATAATATGGGTGAATATTGTAACCGCAATGTTGCTCATGTGAAACCTTCATAAGACTGTATATTAATGATACCCTAAAAAAATTCAAAGGGAAAAAAATTGTGTGTGTGTGTGTGTGTAAAAAGACCAGAAAGAGAGCCTCTGGACGATGGGATTAATGTGCAGAAGTCAATTCGACCAAGATACTGGAAGGACATCTTGTCAAGCTATATTTTACTATAGGCCTCTCACATTCACACATGTTTATATGTGAAACAGACCCCAAAAAAATTTGTTTTAAAAGGTAAAATACAATTTTCTCTAATGACTAAAAATTTTCCTTAAAACGATTCATCTGGACGCACAGAGATCTTAAACAAGGTAAGGATGCATTTGTTTTCAAGAATTATCTCTAAACAGTAGCTTGATGACGAGGAATGTGACACGGCAAGCTAAGGAAAAAGTACCTTTGGCTCTCTCTTTGGAGAACCAAACTCTTGGGGCTCATATTCACTGACCTGGTTTAAAATATAGACTGTTCCTTCTGAAGTGCTGCTTTAAAACTTTGATGAAATACAGATTAATGTTTCATAAAGATGCTAAAAGCTCCTGCTAGGGACTCAAGAACAGGGTAAAACAATTTTTCATTATAATTAAAGGATTCTTCTACTTCAAGCTCCCAGTTCTGTTAGAACTGCTCTGCCAGCTGAACTGAGCCTTCCAGACCTTAGGCTCCCTTCTCCTTACCTGCAGACACCAAGTCAGGTTTCATTTGGCTCCCACCCCACCTGAAGACTCACTTGCCAATTTGATTGTCACTGTTCTTGTTTTGCCAGTCTCCAGCATCAGGTCATCCAATTCAACTCAACCTGTTTTTAATAGGGTACTTGAACTTGCAGCGGATACAACAGTCCTGATAGGCCAGCCCTTGCGCTCACCAGGCGCTATCTGAGCTGGGCCCTCAGAACTCCTTTATCTATCTTACCTTGACTCCTGAAACTTTGCATAATAGCTATCTCAAATACCAAATATCTTCAAGCTCTTACCCCAACCCACCACTCTGCTGCCCCTCCATTCCCTCTAAGTGATTTTGCATTGAAAAAGAAGGTCCAGGCCCTCCCCCGTGGCTTTCCCCAATCCTTCTCTTTCCCACCATAAGAAGCAACATAGTCATGCTCCCTTTCTTCCTTTACTCTCTTCTCTGGAAGAAATTAGAGCTACTCAAAGACTGTCCCTGAGTCCTCTTCTTTTCTCTAGGGGGTATTCTTATATCTTCCCACAACTTTAAATACCATCTCCACATTCTGATGATACCTACATTTTCACCCCAGCTAACAAACCTCTTTTGTGCTCAAGATTCATTCAACTGCCTACTTCCTATCTCCAAATGGATGTACTGCATAGGTTCCCTCAAATGCAATGCTGTGAAACCAAACTCAACCTCTGCTCTCTGCCCCCAGCACAGGCAAACAAAACAAAAATGTAGGAGTCTCACAAGCACAAGGTTTAACTTAATAGTTGCTTAGAACAAGGTCCCTGGGATAGTGAAGCATCAGAATCCTTTTTATCTGCTCTTTAACAAGATTTGCCACATAGGTCCCCTAAGGCTGCCATCTGGATATAAATGCTCTCAAAACTCATCAAACCAAGTACCTTAAACTTAAGGGCAGCACCAGATGAAGATGTTTCAGCACCAGTACTATTTAAAGTCCTGCTGACTGTCAAGAGCCAAACTCCTTCTTACCATTAAGGGTTTGTCTGATTCCCCCCTTAATTAGATCAAAGGAAGCCCCCACTTCCTTTGAACCCAAGATACCATGGATGACTTAGAAAACTGGGGGGAAAAATGTTTCCAGCTAACCAACATATCTAAATGCCACCTATATGTTAGGCACTATGTAACTGACAAGGAAGTATAAATAACAGAATCATAGAATTCTAGGAAAAAGAACTCTAGAACCGTAAGAGGCCTTCAAAATCATTTCATCTACCATACTAATATCAAGGTCATCTATGGAACATGAAATCCAGAGATGACATTGGTCACACCATTCTTTGGGGTCAAAACTCAAATCCCTGGACTTTGTTCAGGACAGACATGTACATTTTTAAAAAATGTTGCTTCATGTAGAATTAACTGCACAATAAAATATGTGGAAAAGGAGGACCTTAGCATGTGTTTGACACCCTTTAAGAGGAACAAAGCACTGGGAAAGAGACGATGGATCACACAACACCTGGCACTGACCAGGCAGCGTTACCAGCAGAGAAGAGCTTTGCTGCTCTCCGGGTGTGGGGATTTGCATGTGCAGAGTAAAGGGAAGCCATCTGACTGTGATACACGTAACACAGAAAATGCTTCACTTAGAAAATAGGGATAACCTTCTCAAAATATTTAATTCACGAAGGATTAATCCTTAAAGAGACTCCAGAGAGCATGCCTCCAATAGCACTTTCAGCTATGATGATGTAAGGTCCTATGTCTGCACTGCAAATTACAAGCATGAGCCATACTGGACAGAGCAGCTCTAGAAGAAATGCAACCAGCCAGACCAATTAAGCTATTTTCTTACCAGTAATGTTTTGAAGGAATAGCAGAGGAATATTCCTTTGGCAGCATAACTGGATGAAGTGAGCCCCCTAGCAAATAAAATATAAATCTTTTTAAAGGGGAGTTAACAAATCTGTAATCATCATGTACCCTACAGACACCACACAGGTCAAAGACAAGAAGGAGTGCCCTTTGCTTGGCTAGTCTGATGTTAGAGTAACGGTTAACAATAATACTACCAGCAGGCTGACTCAAGACCAACGGGACATGACTGTGGTTTGCACTGTACATGTTCTGCAGCCCCTGTGTGCTTACTGGCACATGGCTACAGGGCAACTACTGTTGCCGGGGAACAAGTCAATCATGGACATTCCACACAGCAAATGAAACTTAACAGAGATGAACTGCTTGTCAGTAAGAATTTCTGAGCCTCACTGTAATTCTCTAGTTCTCCTTTAAAAAGAATATAAACACTTTCAAGGCAAGTATTCTTAGAGTCTAATATGTACATGTCAACCATAGCAGTTATAAAGCAAGGATCTTACAAGAAACCTTACTAAAATGAACACTTGATTTTTTCAATAGTGTCTAGATAGTTCAACCATGCTAAGGTAAACCCCATAAAAGCTACTTTAAACATTAACATGCATGCATACACACATCCATGCTCGTGTGCACATATACTCAGACTCTGCTTGCTAAAGCATCTGGCTAAATATTTTAAAGCTTTTATGTGATAAATTTTCATTCCTTATTTGACCCTCAAAGTTAATTAGGTTTATATTAAAACAAAATCTTGGAACATGTTTAACAGTACTTGCCTTTTTTGCAGATTCAGAAAATAGAACTCCATTATTTCCAATGATACCTACTGGGTATCCAAATATTCTAGCAAATCCTCAAAAGAAAAGTGAAAAAACATTTGTGTATTTCAGAAGGCTTTTAATTCACAAGAAACAGACACACTTCTATATTCTTTACTGTCACATCAAACTTTAAAATGTGGAGATTTTGTCTGTGGTACAGACCAGCTCACATCACCATTTGTAATTTCTCAGGTTCTGGAGTCTGGGTTTTTTGCTTTTTTCAAATGAGTGTTAGAGGTAAAGTTACCCACTTGTCTGACTGGCTGGTTTGGTTAGATGACTGGGTTAGCTGACGTGTCATCCATTCACTCACAGACCATCTATGAACCAGATAGAGCATATACTGAAATAGAACAAATCAAAGATGTAGAGCCCCTTAAAGGTCAATGTTCAGACCTATCAGCCAGTGTCAGGGGAGTGGCATGCCTGGAAATGCCTGTGGTAATGATAGGCCCTTGAAATAAAGGGGATAAACTCAGCAAAGGCAAATTTTTTTTAAAAGCAGGAACACAGCCAAACCTGGTGGTAACTAGGTTTAAACTAAGAAATCCAGTTATTCTAGAAGAATGAATCCCTTCACTTTTACTGTCTCTTTGCTTGTATCTTTTTCTGTCTCTTTTCCAGTTTCATTTATGTCTCACCACCACTTCCACTTCAAACACCCCCTCTCCATACACAAACACAGAGAAGAACTAAGGGAGAAGAAAAAGAGGGGGAAACTGTTATTTTGTGAGGTAGACACTTTCAGTGATTTCAGGAAGTTAATTATTTTGCGAACCTGAAGAACGACTACAGAGATTGTTCCAAGAGTGAATTTCAACAAGCCTACTTATGACTATAAATAAGGGCCAAATACTTGGAACCTGAGAATCAATAAACTGTGCTTGTTAAAAATAGGTCAAAGACCTGATTGTTTATAGGTCATAATGCATGATCAAAACCAAAAGTTTCTGTGATGACTGCCCTTGTACTGTTCACCATTTAAGAACTTACTCACTATGTAAGAATTTGTTCACCATGTAAGAACTTGTTCGTTATGCTTCAGAAGATTGGAGACTGATGAGAATTAGGCTTGAGGTGGATTAATGATTGTGCATTGAGCATTGACTCCCCTATACAGAATTTTACTGTTGTTAACAACCATTTGATCAATAAATATGAGAGATGCCCTCTCAAAAAAAAAAAATAGGTCAAAGAAAGCCTGTTACCAAAGTGCTTGGAACCAGGCTCTGTCTTGCAGCTCAAACTGGACACCCAGCTGTGGTGCTTGACCAAAGCAGGTGCTCAAAATATTACTGAAGAAAATTAATGGATAAAAGAGAATGTCAAACTACTGATAAGCCAGAATACTGAATTTTTAAAGATGTTTTTGTTCTTTACTCTTATTATTTTTTTAATTGATAAAATTGTTAAGCAGGAAAATAGATATGAGCAGGGTAGAAAGAGAATAAGGTCAGTAAAACCTACCAGAAAGGACTCAGAGTTAACCAGTTAAAACTAGAAAGCCAGAAGACTCAGAGTTAATGAGTTAATCAGTTAAAGCTCAAAGGGTCAGAAGCAACTTGGCCTTGAATGTTTGAATATTCCCTCAGACAAACATAAGTATCTCAGCATAACCCATGTCTTCATTGTGTCAATTAGATCATGCCATTGTAAAATTCACTTTAGCCTGCTAAAAGGCCCAGCTATAAACAGCATAATAATATTAATTTTGACTAATAAGAAAAGAGACTTAATGACTCATCAAGGATGAACATTCTGAGACCACTTAACAAGTCCACACCCTTAGCTCTTTGAAAATCCTCAACCTCTTATAAAACCCCAGACCCTAAACCCTTAGGGGCACCTCTTCTCTGAGATAGCCCACACTCCCTTTCTCTAAGGGTGTACCATTTTGCTTTAAATAAACCTCTCACTGCTCAACTTCTAACGTTTTGTCTCAGCACTTCTCCAGTGGTAAGTGTCTTTCTTACTTTGCTCTTTCATTCTAATCCTCCTGATTTCAGCTCAAACCTTCACTCTGTCCTATTTCAGATAAGTAGGGAGGGGCTGCTGAGAGCTCAGATCTGGGCCTGCAAATTATGATTGCCTGGGTGACCTGGACCAAACTGCAGCTTGCAGTCATGCTCTTTAGTAGCCAGCCTGAAAAGTCTCCTTTCTTTGCCTCTAAGAAGTTCACAGAATATAATCTCACTTCATCCAGTGCTCTGCGGCTCCCCCAAATCCTGGGGTGGTAGGGACTCAGTTTCCATGCTGTGCAGATCCAAGCAGACACTGGACGCCAGGTAATACTGGCTTACAGAGTTAACAAGGGATGTGCCCCATGCTGAGCAGCAGTTCAGTTAAATTCCTTTATCATTCTGTTCTGTCATTCCCTGGCACTCTTGCTTTAATAGATTCTTTCCTCACCTTGCACTCTGACTTCCCTGCATCTCTGAACCCACTTCTCCCCAACAAAATGAAACGTTGAATTGATGGTCACCTAGATTTCTTTCTCTTAGTGTTTCAGGTCTAAATTCCCAGCCAAAAGCCTATGCTGCACATTCTAAATGGTCCTACCACTTATAGAGGCAAGCAGACAGGGGTGAACTTCCCCAAAGGTCTGACAATCCACTTGGAGCCCTGCCCCACCCCACATAAAGAGCTGGGTCTCTTACATGTCTTTCAGCAGTAAGGTGCCACCCTGAAGGTATACTGTCCTGTTAGCTATTGATTAGCAAATCCTCAAAAGAAAAGTGAAAAAACATTTGTGTATTTCAGAAGGCTTTTAATTCACAAGAAACAGACACACTTCTATATTCTTTACTGTCACATCAAACTTTAAAATGTGGAGATTTTGTCTGTGGTACAGACCAGCTCACATCACCATTTGTAATTTCTCAGTTTCTGGAGTCTGGGTTTTTTGCTTTTTTCAAATGAGTGTTAGAGGTAAAGTTACCCACTTGTCTGACTGGCTGGTTTGGTTAGATGACTGGGTTAGCTGACGTGTCATCCATTCACTCACAGACCATCTATGAACCAGATAGAGCATATACTGAAATAGAACAAATCAAAGATGTAGAGCCCCTTAAAGGTCAATGTTCAGACCTATCAGCCAGTGTCAGGGGAGTGGCATGCCTGGAAATGCCTGTGGTAATGATAGGCCCTTGAAATAAAGGGGATAAACTCAGCAAAGGCAAATTTTTTTTAAAAGCAGGAACACAGCCAAACCTGGTGGTAACTAGGTTTAAACTAAGAAATCCAGTTATTCTAGAAGAATGAATCCCTTCACTTTTACTGTCTCTTTGCTTGTATCTTTTTCTGTCTCTTTTCCAGTTTCATTTATGTCTCACCACCACTTCCACTTCAAACACCCCCTCTCCATACACAAACACAGAGAAGAACTAAGGGAGAAGAAAAAGAGGGGGAAACTGTTATTTTGTGAGGTAGACACTTTCAGTGATTTCAGGAAGTTAATTATTTTGCGAACCTGAAGAACGACTACAGAGATTGTTCCAAGAGTGAATTTCAACAAGCCTACTTATGACTATAAATAAGGGCCAAATACTTGGAACCTGAGAATCAATAAACTGTGCTTGTTAAAAATAGGTCAAAGACCTGATTGTTTATAGGTCATAATGCATGATCAAAACCAAAAGTTTCTGTGATGACTGCCCTTGTACTGTTCACCATTTAAGAACTTACTCACTATGTAAGAATTTGTTCACCATGTAAGAACTTGTTCGTTATGCTTCAGAAGATTGGAGACTGATGAGAATTAGGCTTGAGGTGGATTAATGATTGTGCATTGAGCATTGACTCCCCTATACAGAATTTTACTGTTGTTAACAACCATTTGATCAATAAATATGAGAGATGCCCTCTCAAAAAAAAAAAATAGGTCAAAGAAAGCCTGTTACCAAAGTGCTTGGAACCAGGCTCTGTCTTGCAGCTCAAACTGGACACCCAGCTGTGGTGCTTGACCAAAGCAGGTGCTCAAAATATTACTGAAGAAAATTAATGGATAAAAGAGAATGTCAAACTACTGATAAGCCAGAATACTGAATTTTTAAAGATGTTTTTGTTCTTTACTCTTATTATTTTTTTAATTGATAAAATTGTTAAGCAGGAAAATAGATATGAGCAGGGTAGAAAGAGAATAAGGTCAGTAAAACCTACCAGAAAGGACTCAGAGTTAACCAGTTAAAACTAGAAAGCCAGAAGACTCAGAGTTAATGAGTTAATCAGTTAAAGCTCAAAGGGTCAGAAGCAACTTGGCCTTGAATGTTTGAATATTCCCTCAGACAAACATAAGTATCTCAGCATAACCCATGTCTTCATTGTGTCAATTAGATCATGCCATTGTAAAATTCACTTTAGCCTGCTAAAAGGCCCAGCTATAAACAGCATAATAATATTAATTTTGACTAATAAGAAAAGAGACTTAATGACTCATCAAGGATGAACATTCTGAGACCACTTAACAAGTCCACACCCTTAGCTCTTTGAAAATCCTCAACCTCTTATAAAACCCCAGACCCTAAACCCTTAGGGGCACCTCTTCTCTGAGATAGCCCACACTCCCTTTCTCTAAGGGTGTACCATTTTGCTTTAAATAAACCTCTCACTGCTCAACTTCTAACGTTTTGTCTCAGCACTTCTCCAGTGGTAAGTGTCTTTCTTACTTTGCTCTTTCATTCTAATCCTCCTGATTTCAGCTCAAACCTTCACTCTGTCCTATTTCAGATAAGTAGGGAGGGGCTGCTGAGAGCTCAGATCTGGGCCTGCAAATTATGATTGCCTGGGTGACCTGGACCAAACTGCAGCTTGCAGTCATGCTCTTTAGTAGCCAGCCTGAAAAGTCTCCTTTCTTTGCCTCTAAGAAGTTCACAGAATATAATCTCACTTCATCCAGTGCTCTGCGGCTCCCCCAAATCCTGGGGTGGTAGGGACTCAGTTTCCATGCTGTGCAGATCCAAGCAGACACTGGACGCCAGGTAATACTGGCTTACAGAGTTAACAAGGGATGTGCCCCATGCTGAGCAGCAGTTCAGTTAAATTCCTTTATCATTCTGTTCTGTCATTCCCTGGCACTCTTGCTTTAATAGATTCTTTCCTCACCTTGCACTCTGACTTCCCTGCATCTCTGAACCCACTTCTCCCCAACAAAATGAAACGTTGAATTGATGGTCACCTAGATTTCTTTCTCTTAGTGTTTCAGGTCTAAAATCCCAGCCAAAAGCCTATGCTGCACATTCTAAATGGTCCTACCACTTATAGAGGCAAGCAGACAGGGGTGAACTTCCCCAAAGGTCTGACAATCCACTTGGAGCCCTGCCCCACCCCACATAAAGAGCTGGGTCTCTTACATGTCTTTCAGCAGTAAGGTGCCACCCTGAAGGTATACTGTCCTGTTAGCTATTGATATTTTCAACCCATCCTCATCCCAGCTTGGGATCTAGGCATAGGGGCGGTTGAGTAAGGCACATGCTCCACTATACTAGGGACACCTATGGAGGGAGCACCTTCACCAACTTCCTTCAGGCCAAACAGGAAACTACTAGAGCCTATATTCAACTAGTGTGGTGGCAGGAGGAAACCCTTAAGAGCTTCCAGAGATGACTGATCCTCAGAAAAATATGTTCCTCCTCGCTCGCTCCCCACCTCATCCCTCCTACCCTCTAAGGCACTCCCACTCCACTCTCCTCTTCCCCTTTCCACCCCCCACTCCCCTTTCCCCAACCTTATTTGAATTTCAGTACTTGAAGAGATGGAGAAAACTTGATAGTCCCTGGTATTCTAGGGGTTAAAGGTGCCACAAGCCTTTTAACAAGTACCGGGCAAATACGTAAAAAAGAGATGACAAGGACAGCTCATCCATCTTATTCATCTTTGAGAAGGAAGTAGAACAGCTTTGACTTGTTTTAAACTGCTGCACATCCTGAACTATTTGGTGACAAATCCTGCTATACATCAAACAAAAAGCTCTTAATCACTTAAACACCTAAATACAAAAACATAAATTCCACTCCCACTGTGAACTCTTCTCTTGCTCATAAATCAGGCCAGGAGGAAGTTGCTGTGACTTACCCTTAAGCCTCAGTGTTATATTTGCAGTCTGACTTAGGCAGCTAGTTTTTTCTAATATGGCGTGGTATTTTCAGGTTAACTACTGCATTTCCCAGCTTTTATGAAGCCAAATAAATTTCACAAAATTTGTTTTGCCATTTGTCCAAGACAGTCAGGGGTCTAGCATCTATGTTTCAAATACTTTTCTTCAAAAGCCTACAAACTTAACACGTTAAATGAATGAATGTACTTTTGTAAACATCCTGATTTTGTTATTCCAGACTTTGTATTCTGGTCTGCATCCTTGGTCTAGTATTGCATGATTCAACAACAGACCTACACAGAGGCTGTGAGGCGGTTTAACTTACTCTACGTCCTTCTGGAAAGCTAACTATCATATAAAACTTCCTAGTTGAATTGTAGACTGAAGAACAAACAAGACAATGATGAAATTCTCAAAACAATTATAGTTATCCAGAAAACAAAGAGAACTACAAATATTTCTGCTAGTTTAATTATCATTAGAACCTTTTCATACAGGTAAGGAAGCATCCAGCCTTCAGTATTTTAAACTCTCTGGATCCTTGAAGCCATTTGGCAACAAATGGTTTTTACAAAACAGCTCCTTTTGAGTACTGACTCACACATTTGTACTGCTCTAAATAACAAAGCACATGCCAAGTGTATCAAAGCCTTGAGACAAGAGATCACTTATTTTCAAAGCAACAGAAAATGTTCATATATTCAAATTCTTTCCCTTTATACCTGTAACCAATGTGTCTCCATATAAGGCTTTGAACTCACTGAATCTGCTTCCATCCACAATTCTAGCAATGACCTAAGAAGAAAAATAACAATGTCTCTGAGAAATACCACAAAAGAATTTTTGCATTTAAGTTATTTATAATAAAAACAAATTCATAGTTAAGTTGTCACTTTCACACAATTTCCCCCTATACAGAAAATCTCACTAGAATTTCACTTTACAGGCATGGTACCTGCCCTGAAGTCATTTGGGGCCCTGATTTTACACTTCACTATATATTATATATATATA